TTGTGTTTTTTATTGTGTTTGATTGTGTTTGGTTGTGTTTTTTATTGTGTTTGTGTTTTTTATTGTGTCTGAGTGTGTTTGATTGTGTTTATTTGTGTCTGAGTGTGTCTGAATGTGTTTGATTGTGTTTGGTTGTGTTTTTTATTGTGTTTGGTTGTGTTTGGTTGTGTTTTTTATTGTGTTTGTGTTTGATGGTGTCTGCCCCTCATAGTGGGATGTGCCTGCAAACCCCACTGCTGTGTCTGTGTGTGCTGTGCTCTCCTCCAGGATATCCATAACCAGAGTGACAGCTGACATCTCCCTTGCCAAGAGATCTGTGCTCAACAACCCCAGCAAGAGAGCGATCATCGAGCGCTCCAACACCCGCTCCAGCCTGGGTAAGGCACTGGGGTGTGGGGTGTGTGTACACACAGGAGGGGAGGGACACCATCCCAGCCTTCAGGATTCTGGAATCACASAAYCTGAGCTGGARGGRACCCACAGGATCAYGGMTCCAGCTCCAAAATCCCAAAATCCCYCCCTGTGCATCCCTGGCAGCGCTGTCCAAACACTCCTGGGCCGGGGCCATTCCCTGCCCAGCACCCTCTGGACACARAACCTTTCCCTGAAATCCATCCCAACCCTTCTGGCCCAGCTCCAGCCATTCCCAAGATAACATCAATTCTGCAGATTTAAACATTTTAGCAGCATTTTATTGGATAATCCTAAACTGGCCTCRCAGCTCTTCCTCCTTCCCAGCCCTGTGCTTTTAATTCCACATCACCAGGGGCCAAAGRGCTTTCACTTGCCCAGCCAGGGAAATGTTCTCCTGACCCTGTGACCAGTTTTTTAGTTCATGTTCCAGCTGAGTTTTGCTGTCCAGCCATGAGATTTTGGGTCCTGCTGMTCTCCTCAGTGTCCTGACTGGTGGGGAACAGTGGCCTGAGGAATTTGGATTTGGATTCCATGATCTTGGAGGTCTTTTCCAACATCAGGGATTCCATGATTGTGTGATTATTTTTTTGCACAAGGGTGGAAATTTGTGTGTAGTTATCCAGAGTGCATCTCTTCTCTGGGATACCAACAGGAGTGATTGGGTTTGGTAAAAAAAACCCCAAATCTGTGATATTCTGAGTGACTGCTTGCACTGGAGGTGCAGGTAACAGGTTATTTTATGGAAATTCCATAAATCCACGTGTGGAGTCCATGGCACTAAGTGGGTGATGATATTTTTATCCCACTGGTTTCACCTGCTTTGTTTTCCTTTGCAGCTGAAGTGCAGAGTGAGATTGAGAGAATCTTTGAGCTGGCCAGGTCCTTACAGCTGGTTGTCCTGGATGCAGACACCATAAACCACCCTGCACAGCTTATCAAGACATCTCTAGCACCAATTATTGTCCACGTGAAGGTGTCCTCTCCAAAGGTAATGCCCCTCTCCTTAAAATCCAGGAGGGACCTGCAGGGCAGGGTGGGAATGGGCAGTGTGGAAAAAATGGGAAAAAGTGACTGCTGCTGCCACAGTCCATCCAGCAATCCAGATAATTCTGTACAAATAGAATTTTCATGCTCCTCTATTRTCAAAAATAACAGTATTGAAAGTAGGATAAAGCAAAAATGCATGTGAAATTTTTCAAGGGATCAAACAGATCCTGAGGGAAACGTGCCCAGCTCTCAGGGGGTTATCAGAAAGGTTCTGGGATATTCAAGGACAGTATTTCATGGAGAGCTCCTGCCCTTGCTAATCCCCCAGTGGGATGTCAGGCTGAGCTTTAGGGAGATAAATGATCCTTAAACTCTCCTTTTGCCCTTCTCTCCTGTCAGGTTTTGCAGCGACTGATCAAGTCCAGAGGGAAGTCACAAAGCAAACACTTGAATGTCCAGTTGGTGGCAGCTGATAAACTTGCACAATGCCCACCAGTGAGTACAGAGGAGAGGCTGCAGAGCTGCTTTGTGGAATTGTGATGTTTGCTGCTGTGCTGATTCCTGTGCAGAGCTGGCTCCATCCATTATCACCCCCTTGTGCTGTGAAGACACAAAGTGCTGCAGACTTTCATCCCAGTTATCTCCTGGCCCGGGTTTGTTTTGGTCCTTGGCAGGGTGACAGGGCAGGAATGACGTGGAGGGGACAGCAGAGCTGTTCATTTGCAAATTACATCATCKGTAGAGCTTAATGTCCCAGAGGGACAAAGTCTGGGCTGCAGAGGCCTTTCCTCAGTGCCCAGTGGGGGAATGGAGAGGGAAAGGGGTGAGTGCAGGATTGTGAGCCCTGATCCTGATCCTAAACCTATCCCAGGCACTCAGCAAAGCACAAACACTGCTGTCCCAGCTCCTGAGCAGGGATCCTGCCCCTCTCCTGGAATCCTAAATCCTGCTGCAGGATAACAGTCCTGCAGGGATCCTGCCCCTCTCCTGGAATCCT